TCTTTTCTTTAAAAATAGAGTATTATGGGACTCACTAGAATTACATAACATGTTCTTGTAGATGTTTACTACTTGTTCTGAATTATGTTAATGTATTCAGTCATATTGTCACCAGGAAAAGACCAAGACTGAGCGTAAGCAGTGAGAGGAAACTTAAAGGACTGATTATTAGGGGCAATGTCTATTTTGGGGCAAGATAGATTAGGGTGCAGGTCCCAGTCCAGTTGGCTGGGAGACAGGTATTGGTGTCACACAGAAAGAAGATTCCCTGATTTTTAAGCAGAAGTGTTCTCACTGGTGAAGAGGTGAGTGACCTTGTTGTTCTCATTTTCACAAAGTTCCAGCCAAGGTGGCCCCCATAAGGGGCTGGAAAGGGCCTTTGGGATTGACCTGTGTAGCCCCAGTGGTGGTATTCTCAAAAAAGATATATTTCCTCTCTGTCTCCAACCAAAATTTAGAATGTGTGAGTCTGTGGGAGGGCAGTCGACGGCAGTTAGACTTAATAAGAGTTGCAAATCTGCCATGGGAAATAGCTGGCGCAGGAAAGGGGTTGACCTAAACAGAACTGGGAGGTATTGGTTGTTGGGAAGGTTGCTGAGATGATGGGCCAGGGTGATAATCAAATGGGGAGGCACATGGGTTCCAAAAAGGGGCTGTTGGGTTACGCAATAGCCCAGTTGGAGGAAGATTGAGAGTAAAGTTGCATAAACGTTGATCAAGATATCCTAAAACTTTTCCTGCAGGGAGTGTTCTGTTGATGCAAAGAGGTGCCTGATATGCTAGGACAGTGTTGGTTGTAACTGGTCCTAAGATGGGGACTTTGTGGGATGAGTGTTCAGTTATGTTGTTTAAATATGACTGGAGTGACTGAACGGCTCTGCCTGAGAGCGTTCCTCTTGTCATTTCTGTGAGTTGGAAGTTATAGTTCACCAAGGCACACGAGTTGGAACAGGGGCCCTCCATGTATCTTACAGTGGAAGGGTAGCCTGGAGGTGGCCCCTGTGTATGAGGAGGCTGGGGCTGCCGTGTAGCTAGTTGATGAGAGGGGAAGACAGAGCCAGCAGTCCTGCGCGAGAGTGGGGTTGGTGGTGTTGAGGAGCTGGTGTGTTAGGTTGAGGGTTCGAGAGAGATAGTGAGGACTTAGGAGGTGTTAAATAGGTATGGGGTAGACCTGCATACACAATAAGAGGAGAAGGCTTGTGGGGGTCATTGTAGACTCTAACAGATACGGCGTAATTTCAGCCAGATGGTAGAAGGCAATGGCTCATTAAAAAGTAAAAAATGACAAGGGTGACTCCGAGGAGTACTACCAGCCGGAATAAAGAGTGAGTAAGGGCCTCCCAGGCTGAATTTTGGTTAAGTTAATCCCCAGAGTTGACTTCTAGCCAGCTTAGTTGGTCCCAGGAAAAGTCTGTGAAATCTCCCTGAAGATAACAATCCCATAAGAACATCAGTAACTGTGTTCAGTCCTGGGATGAAAAGGAGAAGGGACTTCTTTGAGGAAGGATAGGGTAAGTGTTCTGCAATAGGGAGGGGGCTGGCCAGAGCAGGGGCCAAAAGACAGGGACCAGCACAAACAGGACAGTGAGAGGCAATGGGGGAAGCCTGGCTCATAGGGGAGTAGGGTAAGGGTCCAGGGCTTACGGTTCCTCGGAAATTTTTGTAAATTTGAGGCCAGTCAGTCCGAGGCTGACCCTTAGCTACAAGCTGATTGGTGGTGAAGTCTGGGGTGCAGGGGTTCACTTCAACTTGGAGGAGTAGACCCAGGATGAATATCCCCGTAGCTTGGCCGCTGTTGGTGTGGTCAGGAGTGCCTGGTGTGGGCCTGTCCTTTCGGGCTTTAGCGTCCCCGTGCTGTAGGATGCCTGGAGAAGTACCCAGTCTCCCAGCTCTAGCGGAGGATCAAGGGGAGAGTCAGTGGTAGGCCCGGAGAGAACTGGCCAGCATTCTGCCGAAGGAGGTGGCAAGTGAGGTTGAGAGTGTAGAGATAATCTCCCAAAGGGCTAGAGCAGTGGTTCCCAATGTAGGGCAGTTTGATTTTTTTAAAAAAATATATTGATTTTTTTACAGAGAGGAAGGGAGAGGGATAGAGAGTTAGAAACATCAATGAGAGAGACACATCGATCAGCTGCCTCCTGCACACTCCCTACTGGGTATGTGCCCGCAACCAAAGTATATGCCCTTGACCGGAATTGAACCTGGGACCCTTGAGTCCACAGGCTGACGCTCTATCCACTGAGCCAAACCAGTTAGGGCATGGGCAATTTGATTTTTAAGGGGGGCAATTGGAGAATGAGTTATTAACAGTGAATTTTTTTTGCATTTCTTATGGTTCTAGGGGCCTCATATACAGCATATAAATATATATATTGTGACATATTTATGGATTTCAGGTCTCTTATATGTTTTGAAACTGTATTTGCTATTCCTTCATATTATTATTTTTTAAAAATAATTTCTTAAGTGATTTCTTCCTCAGTATTTCAGCTTTCCTTTTTCCTGCGTGGAGGGAGTGGTGGGTCTGGGTCGGGATTTGGGTGTCTGTTGTTGTGGGAGGATAGTTTTCCTGCAGTGGTGAGCCAGACCCCTTCCCAGCAGCTCCTGCCTGTGTGTCAGGAGAGTTCCTCTGTGGCGTGGGAGGGGTGAAGAGCCCGCATAGTGAAGAGCTGGGATTCTACAGGCTGGTGTGTGGCTGTCCTTCTCGCCTCCCTGTCTGCCTTGTTCCCTAGAGCAATGAGTCCTGTAT